AAAAAAAGATCTTTGTCATAAATCAAGAGCCAGAAACAGGAATCTTCAGGAATAACAGCTCTGAAACACAAGAATGGGTACCTCCATAGCATGCCAGATAAAGGACCAAGCCTTTCCAAGCCTTTCCTCAATCACGAAACCAATAAAAGTCAACCAGAAAGTTGTCACAAACCTCCTTAGAGGTCTTAGATCAGTTTAAGCTACTGGTCCATATGATATACAGCCTTCATCACAAAGTACACATCATATCACCTCACACCTTACCTAACCAAATTATGCAAAATGTCATTGCGGATCCATACAAGAAGATTGGAGGACAGATTACAGAGTCCTAGTCGGTAAAAAGTAGAGGGGAAAAACAGCGCAGCTAATTATCGCTTTGTCTCTCTGACATCAACTTCATGTAAGAACTTGGAGCACGTAATCCACAGTACTATCATGGATCACTTTGCCCAAAAACTAGATAGTCTGCGATGAGCAACATGGTTTTAGAGCTAAACGATCCTAGCTACTTATTACTATACATGGCATGGCATAGTGGGAACCATGAGACTATCAGACAGACACCATTTATTTTGCCTTTGATAACGTGCAACATACCAGACTGCTATTCAACATGGACTGCTGCGGAGCGAAGTTCGAGATACTCATTGATAAGGTTCCTGTCCAACAGAACACAGTCCATTATACTGGAAAACCAAAAGTCACTTTCTTTATGGCTTACATTAATGAGATCCAAGAAGCAACATCATCAATCGCTCGCTGATTACTGTCTCCTTTTCTGTTGCATCAAGAAAACTGAATATGCTTTCTTGTTGCAGAGATCACACCTAGTTTGCAGAATGGGAAAGGAAGTGGCAGATGTGTTTCAATTCTGAAAAAAGCAGTCGTTTCAGGGCGACTTCAACTTTACCAGGCGTTTTGCACACTACTAGTACATTGACACACTGTTGAAGCAGAAGATAATGAAACATACCTTGGGGTCACCATTAACAAAGATATTACCTGGACAGAACATATCAACCAAAACATCGGTAAAGCCTCTAAGACACTTGGCTTGTGACGGAGAAATTTGAGCCGCTGCAATCCAGCAAAAAAAAAGCCAAAGGCATACTCAACCCTAATGAGACATACCCTGTAATAAGCTTCTCCCGTAGGGAACCCATACCACATCACCATCACAAGATATATCGAACAAGTACAGAGGCGAACATCTCGCTTTGTTACAACTGACATCAGGAAAAATCTGGCCAGGTTGTGTTGCAAAGTTACTGTACCAACTTCAGTGGTAATCACTACAGCATAGACGATGGAAACAAAATATTTGGCTGTGTTATAAGATTCAACACCAATTGATTGCCATTGATCCAGCCAAGTACTGCATATCTGGTGAGAGAAGAAACGGAGGCAACCAAAAATGTAAACAAATTAGAATGAAGAGAAATGTCTACCTTTTCCTCTACAACAAGATAATTGAACAGTTCACCAGAATATGCAATGGAGTCCGGGTCATCAGCGGACTTTAGGGCCAGAGTACATACCACATCTCGACTAAACAGTAGGGTAACCAGTGTGCATAGTTGTAAATACATACATCACCGATTTTACATTATGGATTTTAACGTTTGGCCAATTGAGTAGCCTCCTGTCTTTTAGACATGTGCCCGAGTCAATTGACATTTGTATATGGAGGAGCCTGGCATCCAATGGTTGTTGTTGATTGCTGTCTGTCGTAACTGTTTGTCATTAAATGTTGTTTGCATAAATCAGGCTGTTATTTTTCTGATTTGAATTCTTTCAAATCTTGTTCGACCATGATAGTTGTCAATATTACCTCTTTATTTTTATACTTCTAATTCTGATTGAAATTCGAAGTAATCTTTTGGAAGTTTTGTCTAAGTTTCAATTTTTAGTAATTGTGCAGTCATGAAATTTGGCCTATATAGGGTGATACCCATATCATTCCGTCATTCTGAAATTAAACATTATTTCTGATTTTTAATATGCAGTTATATGATTTTTAGTACATAAATGTATAATGAATGAGTTTGCACCTTTGTCCAAGTAAGGTTTTGAAAAGTCATAAAAATTGTACTCGACAGGACTTTTTTTGTAATGCATGGAAATTTCGATCTGATTATTGGGTACATTAGTGTTTAATGATGACTGAATGAACCAATTTGCATTTCCTTCCTCTTGACCGATTTTGTGCAGATTGAGGCCCTGGGACTTAAATTTTTCAAGAAAATTGTTCTTGATCGAATTTATTTGTAATGCATACAGATCTGGAGCTCATTTTCAATGCACTATTGTAAAATGATGACTTGCATGTATGACATTTGTGTTTTGTTTCTGCTGACAGGGCTTTTACTGATTAGACTGCAGATGGGGGCAACCTACATTTTTTGTCTTGACTTGTACAGTAATTGGTGTTGATGACGTCAGATCAATGATTTAGCATCTCACAAATTTCATAGACACTTGACTATTTCTGAAGACCATATGCTGACCCCTTGATGTCTATTTATTTTTGCCTCTTTGGGTTGCTGTCTCATTACTTAAACCCCATTTCTTATTTTATAAATAAAAAAAAATCATTTAAAATGATGTGCACAGTTTATTTTACTATTCTTTTTGCATAATGAAGCATTTACAAATAAAGTTAAAATGCAAAAATCACATATATGAACTACACTTTATTTGGATAAAAGGTATGTACATAAAAAATTAGCACTTGACACAATCTAATATGATATAACGATGATCTGCTAACAATAAGAGACGAAAAGTGAGATTTAAATAATCTTTCTGAAAAAAGGATCATTTATTTATCTCAAACTTCAAGCATGCTCCAAGTATCCTCTCATTCAAGTTCTTACCAATGTATTGAACATATTTTAGTAAAAAGAGCTTTCATGATGAGAGTTCTTGAGATATGCTTCAAGCTAACTTTCAGGAAAAAATATATCAAATTTCCAGTTAAAATCATGAATTTCATAAATTAAACTGTATATTATACCAGATATAACTTAAATAGCAACAACACTTTTAAATAATCATTAAATATGTTCTTGATTAGGTAGTGATTTCAAAATAATGATTTTCATAACTTAGTTAACTATGGTTATTCAATTTACTATTTTAATTGTTTGTAGAACTATTTTCATAATATATATTCTGTTTAGTATTTCATATAAATCTGAATATTCAAAGGGGGTATTTCACTTATAATTGGAATATCTTTAATAATATTGAATTCATAATAAGATTATTTTATTTCATTTCATATTATCATTATACACTATGATGCAAGCTTCTCAGCAGTATAGTTTGAAATATTTGTATCATTAATACACTATAACTCTGAATTTTAGTTTTTGATCTAATTTCACCATTAATTTGTGAAGTTTTTTATTGATTATATTTTAGAAATTTATTGAAGCTGGTTACAGACATTTATGCTATTTCTTGTTTAAGATATTTTAAAACCCAAATTCTGAACACATATGAATAATGCAGTAACATTCATGTAAATGATGCTAGTCTTGTCTTAATATAAGATATACCTTTAAAAGATATTATTGATCTTTTGAAATATTATTAGATCTGAGTGATTTGTAAAATAAATGACTCTTAGCTTTTCTTTTGTTCAAACTGTTAGACATTACAATTTTTCAACAAGTCCACATATGAAATAAAACCGACAGATATTGATACATGTAATACATATGACATGAACAACTTCATATAAAACCAATGCTGTACATCCTCTTTACTGCAAAATAGATATGTACTCTATATAAAAATTGTATGAAGAAGTTAAGCAACATAACATGTTTATTGTTTCTTTTGACACCACAAAAACTTTATACCAAGGACCAATCAAAGTTCAAGTATTGACCGACCTCCTAGTAAAAAATGTTTGGTTGAATTGGGAATTTCTGTACTTCTGCCTTCTACAATTATAAGGTCAACATCTTGCTTTTGGTTTAATAAAAAGATAAACAGGCAAATTAAAGGTTTGTATTTACCAGATCTTGTTAAAAATTATTAGGCTATTTTTAGAATCGTATTAGCTAAATTAGAGAAGTCAAAAGACATTGCCACAAGAAAATTCAGACTAGAAATGATTGCACATTAATTACGGTTTCTAAGATTATAACACTACTACTTTAATAAATTTGAACAAAAATATCAGAACAATTTGCATTGTTTGCATTGCATTAGATACAACAGCATCATTGAATAATACAATTGTTTTACAAAAGAAAATATCGTCTCCACAACTGCAAAACAGCTACTGCATTTTTACTGATAAAAAGCATGCTAAAGTTCCTTATATTAATCCTGCTTTGACATGTAAAAATATAAACAATCTGATTTTTGTTCCATATAAATAAAAACTGTCAACACAGAGATATGTCTTGTCTGTTTTGCTGCAATGTCATGTCAAATTACTGTATGAGAATGGATATTCATTTATAATCTGTTTTGTTATTGTCCTGAAATTGCATGAAATATTTGTTACTTAATGTTAAGCAAACAACAATCAATCAATCTATCTAATTCATTAAAAAAGAGAGAAAAAAAAAACCATTTAAACAATGTAAAAAGTCCCTGGCGCATGATTATGGGACTGAGCTTCATGTTATTGTTAATTCTTCTTCATAAATATGCCTAATTAGAAAACTTCACATTTGAACAAAATGACAATTTTAGTTATCGGAACATGAATGGATGGAGGGGTGTAATCCTGTACTTCATGCATAAAATGAGATCCATGGATGCTAATGCCTCTGTCTGTTACATGTCAATTGTTCATTCTGAAACGCAACTTATTAAAAAAGTTGACAGTAGGTGTTGTTCACTATGATTATGCAGAAAAGCAACACCAATATTACACATTATGACTATTATGTTCCATATAAATAAAAGAAAATATCCAATTTGAAGTGCCAAACAGGAGAATTACATAGATGAACATATTGAATAATTATACAGCAAATTTTACCTTTTAATTATATATGATGTACTATATATGTTTATATCAACCAAAATATATAAACCCTGAATTGAAACATAATTTATACATAAAAAATGCTGATGAGCAAATATAAATATTCTCAGTACAACATTATGCACAATGTACTATGAAGAAAAATAAACATATGCAGATGACAGGGTCAATATATGTCCAGCATACTAAAATAACTGTATGAACTCTGAACCAGAACACAAATCATCATTAGAATCCACTGAGTTCTACATATCAATTATATGTTGAACTGGATCCATGTCCGACTGTGAATTCTGGAACCAGACTAAAGTAATGTGGGAATGTGACATTAGTTACAAATCACAATAGAAATATTTACAACAGGTGGGTTAACTTAATGACTATCTGTTTAAAAAAAAGCTTGTAGTGTAAACAAATGGCAATGAATGGATAAAAATTGCAGAAAATAAGTGAACTGAGCATTTAACTTTCTGAATATATATTGTCAACAAGCAGATAAATAACAACAATTAGTACAACAAGGTTTAAAATGTCCTACACTTATTTTACGAACTTAGAACACAACAATAACAATTAAATATTAAAACAACACATCTGTGTAGGATAATACTGTACAATAGTAAGTCTGCCAGATAGTGGGCATCTGAAAGCTGTTAATATCATAAAAGGCATCCGTACTGATCATACGATCACTGAATGAACATCGCATTATAAAAATGATGACATGACTTTGGTAAACTTTGGAAACAGGAAATATTTAGTGTATTGTAGTAAACTTTTCCACTTACAACATATACTTTGCCTATGTATTTAATATACCTATCAAAATGCATTTACCTTGGATTTTTCTGGTGAAAAGATGATAATGCAAATTGATTCAAGTTGCATCTCATATAATAAATGCATTATTCATCCAATACTTACATTAAAATACCACTTTGTTTGTCAATCTAATACAGATAACTTTTTAGATGAAATACCTTTGTGAAATATAATTATCTTTAATATAATTAATAATTGCACAGAGATTAATAGTTTATAGAATGACAATGATAACAACAGCATCATAACCCAAATAACTTATAATAATGGTGTTACAACAATATGTCAAGTTTTCTCAATGTTTCACCATATAACTTATCTGGCTTAACAGCAGGATGAAACAAGTGGTAACACTACTAGTACAATAATGCAACATAAAATTTTCCTAACTCCATCTTCCCACCAGTATAAAAAGTTGGTCTACTAATTCATTATAATCTTATCTTTAAAAAAAAATAGTAAATAAATTTACATATTACAAAACCACCTGCCACACCACAAATATAATATCATACTATGAGAGCCTACATTTTCACAGTCAGTGATCAACTAAATTCATACAACTTACATTAATACAACATCTGCTAGAGATGAATGACCCACTATCAAAGTGTAACCATTTTGGATCTTTGAGATATAGACCTCACCCTAACAATTCAAACATGTCCAAATGTTACAGATCTATGTTATACTACAGAAAACACTGATATACCATACTGGGTTTCTGACTAATGTCAACTCAGTGTGACAGACAGGCCATGTCGAAACTTTGCTGAACTATGTTGTTGCATCTTAGTAATTATTTATCAATGTGTTTCTGAAGGACCAAATTTATTTCAAAACTGAATTGTTCATATCCTCCTAAACCAACTACCCTGTTTATACCATATACCATTAAATAAGTATCTTTGCTAAGACTTTCCACCCAAAACCCCTTATCTGACTACAAATTGCCATTCCATGTGTTATCAGTAGTCATATGAGTCTACATGTTGTCCTATCTGCCTTAGATGCCATGCAATAAAACGCTATAGAAGTTGAAATTTCAATAGGTATCCTCTTCTACTGAACACCGGTAGATTAAAATACAGTTTTACAATCCATAATATATAGAACTACTGAATCTTTTGTGCATATACATTTGCACCATATATAATGCAACATATTATTATCATTTTTGCCTTTTTGATATTTTTTCTTCTTTTCATTGAAAAAAATTACTTTTAAAAATTTATTTAAATTCACAGCAATAACAGTGAAAATCAATAAAATAATAAAAACCAATTTACTAGAAAACCTATCAAAACTGCAACAAATGTTTAGACTTTATAAACATACAATCTTTTCCTAACAAGTAAGGCTTATTTTTCCATTGCATCTTGTTCAGGTCTTTTTCACTTGAAAAATTAATATGAAATAAAAAAATAGGGCATTACTACTATTAACTGATTTACTGTTAACCTCTAATAATTATTTAATATTAGTCATATATGTTACAAGTATACACCAAAGACCAGTTCTGTGTTAACACTACCAAGAACCTTAGAGATACTAAAATGGTAACAAATAAATAATGGCAACTTTTGAAATCATAGCACAGATGATGCATCAGTGTTAAAACAATAATTATTATGAATGATTATCAAAATAAAAAAAGATGAAAACAATAATGTTGTATCAAGTTCAATAGATGCATTATATAGCTAAACAAAATATCAATTCCAATGAAAACTGCATTTGTTTTTTAGACAAGTTCTATAATAGGATTTCTTTCTAAGAATTTAGTTGTATTTATGCTAAATCATGACCACACATCAGTTTTTCATTAAGCTCATAACATTCAAAACTTTTATGCTCATGTTCTATGGGACTTTTAAGATTTTATTTGCTAAATGGTGTTATGACCTTAAATCTTAATACAAGGCTTACTTGTGTCCAAGCAACAAAGAACATTTGATTAAGAATTGGATGCAAGAACAGACATTTATGATGCCCACAGTCTTATCAATGCCCAGTCGCATAATGCTGGTACTATTTTCTTGCAGCAGTATAATTGTAAATTGTGTTAAAAAGTGACTGTGCCATCTTGTTGATAAAGTTTTCAATGTTAAAAGTCGTCCTTGTTTATGGCGACTGAAGCCTGTTAGTTTCCTATATGCTTTCATTTCCCTCATATTGATTTTCTAAAAAAAAAAAACACTTAAAAATGTCAGTCAATATTTCATTATTTTCAATTTTTTTAATAGTTTATACATGTACATGTATATATATATGTATAAAGGTATGATAATGGCCAAAGAGAATTTTATCCAAACATAAATAGATAATTAATTGACTGTTAACAAAAACTTCATACAGTGAAAAGAAAAATAATTTTGATCAATATATTCATTATCTAAAATAAAAAAAGTCATGTCTCATAAAGTGGTTTAACTATTATGAAATATAGTGGAAAATATCATTGTTATTGTGAAACAAAGCAAATACTAAAAATAATGATCTTAGAACTTACAATTAAGTCTTCATAAATTTAAAAACAGCAACATGTGTCCTCTTAATCTATGAAAAATAAATAATTCCTTCAGAAAATGAATTTCTATAAATTCTTTTGCCATTCCTCAAATTTGTTTTAGGCTTTACTTTTTTAATTTAGTCTGGGCTTTTCTTTAGGTATGATAAATAAAATCTGACTAAAGACTAACTTAAATCTTAACTTTTTTTATCAAAGCTCATTTAGCAAATTCAATTTTTTTCTCACAAAAATAAGTTGTATTTATGAGTCTGCTTTTATGGTAAAAAAAGATGTTTGTGGAGACGACAACTTAACATGAGGTAGTACTGTGTCTTCAGGATTTTTTGTTTTAAAAACTGCAACAGTTCCCCCTATAAGTATGCAAAGATCTAATAAATAAAGTAATAACATATCAAAGAAAATAAAATCCTCCGATGGGCACAGCTTGATACGACCGCAGAGGTCAAACCCTGAACAGTTGGGACAATATGGACACTACATTCAAGCTTGATACAGCTCTGAATTTTGATTGGGATTAAATATTTGACACAGCATAGGTTTCTGACACAGAATTAGTGTGGCCAAAGAACTGAAAATTTTGATATTGAACTTTTACCTATTATAGTCCAATATCCAAAATCTAAATACATGGTTAGATTCAGCAAATTAAAGAACCCCAAGAATTCAAGACTATAAATTAATCCCAATTGAAAATGGTCAAGAAATAAGCAATTTATACAAAATATTAAGTATTGTTTTTTGGCCCCTTTTTTCTAAACGGTTAGGGCCATAACCCCCAAAATCAATCTCAATCTTTCTTTTATGGTATTGTACAATATCAGAGAGATCCATAGACTTATACTGAAGCTATTGTTTGGAAACATGAAAATCCTAGTTTTTTGGCCCCTAATTCCTAAATGGTTAGGCCATAACCCCCAAAATCAATCCCAACCTACCTGTTGAGATATGGAACCTTGTGGTACAATTTCATAGAGATCCATACACTTATACACAAGTTATTGTCCTGAAACAAGAAAAATGCTTGTTTTTGGCCCCCAATTCCTAAACAATTAGGACAATAACCCCAAAATCAGTCCCAACCTTCCTGTTATGGTATGGAACCTTGTGGTACAATTTCATTAAGATCCATACACTTAAACTTAAGTTATTGCCTTAAAACCAAATGTCTTTGGACAAGGACAATGACGGAGACAACGTCATAATACCATTAGATGACTGCAAAGATTTTGTGGTCTATAAAAATAAAATAATTTATCAAAAATGTATAAAATCTAAATCAAGATAAGAGGTTCGTGTGAGCCTGTATTGCCTACCTTGCCTAATGATGTCAAATCAAAAGGATTTATTGTACAAGATCTCAAAGTCATTATTCCTAAAAAAATTAAATCTGTTTTACCTTGTTGTTTCAGTCTTTAAAATTTTGTTTCTTACAACAGTGTATAATGGGTGTATCTATGTGCCCCAAAACAGCCATGCATTAATCTTGTTAGTAAGAAATCTTTGATCTTGATACAGGCTGTGCTAATCTTGGTGAAAGTGGAACATGGTAAGAGATTTAAATAAATGGGGAATGTGTCCATGGGACACAGATGATGCCCCCACTTGCATATCTAATAAAGTTATAAAGGGATATAACTGAAGAACGGTCAAAGTGACGCTACCCTAATTTGTACTTGATCTGAGTTTTGTGGTAATAAGTATTGTGTATAAGTTTCATAACATTTGGTTGAGGCAAACTAAAGTTAGAAAACGGAAACGAAAAAAAATCAGCAATTTTTATGCTTATATAAAGGGGCTTAAATTAAGAACAGTAAAAGTGACGCCACCCAATTTCAAACTTGATCTGTATTATGTGGTAATAAGCATTGTGTATAGGTGTCATAATATTTGGTTGAGGCAAACTAAAGTCAGAGAACAGAAAGGAAAAATTCAGCAATTTTTATGTTTATAAAGGGCATAACTCAAGAATAGTACAAGTGACGCTACCCATTTTCAAACTTGATCTGTGTTTTGTGGTAATAAGCATTGTGTATAAGTTTCATAACATTTGGTTAAGGCAAACTAAAGTTAGAGAATGGAAACCAGCTTTGGGACGTTCGTACATACGGACGTACAGATGGACAAGGGTAAAACTTAATAGTCCCTCCGCTGCGGCGGGGGCATAAAAATACACTTCTTATTATTTGTGCCAATTTATGTTTCAAATGAAACAGAAATTTTAGAGGAAAAATTCTAAATGTTAATACATGATGGTCACAAATTAAAGTTTATAACTCATACTGGCTCTATTAACTAGGTGAACCATAATAGACTTGTGTGACCACGTGTTTCACTTAATCGTATCAAACATTTTAGGATTCTTTTTTTCAAATTCTTTACCCATTTTGTTTTAAAGAATAAATAATTTACTAAAAGAGTAATGCTGAAAGTAAATAAGCATTAAGGCAACATGCAACAGTATACATCATGATACAAAATATTTTCTTTACATTCTTTTAAATAATAAAAGACAATGCTTCATAAATTAAATGACATTAGTGCTTCAAATGACTGAACTGAAGATATTTACAATGTTGCAATCTCATTATCATTATATACAAAATTTGTCGTTGGATATTCTACAATCAAAACATGGGATTTTCTCCAGCTGGAATTATATAAACCTGACGTTCAGACTCTTATTAGTTATGATGTTATGGAGTCATTGACAAGGTTTTTCACAACCTTTGTTTAGGCACTGAGTATCATTTATCATGATGATTACAGGCTGATGATTGGTCGGTGGGTAAACAGTCATCAACTGATGCCTTTGAAGTTGTATTTCTTGACAAAAGTTTCAAAGCTTTTTTGCCATCATGATGATTGGCTATATGATTAGAGGAAGCTGTATCATTACTATCAGCTTCAGCTTCTTCGCTTACTTCTTCTTCTGTAGAGCTCCGTATATCTGTGATTTCCTGTAAATAAAAATAATAATCAGAATAAAAATATAAACTATCTGCTCATATCTATAACTAGCTTGACTAAATTGGTCTATATCATATTAAGAGCATCTTCTGAAATGGTCAGATTGTCAATTTGTCAGATCTAAACCACTGAACACTGTAAACAGCAGAATACAATAATGGTAAAGTGCAAATGATGACAAATAAATATGACATCTTTCAAGTAACTGTTCTTAGAAGAGTAGATTGTTAAGGACAGACAACAGAGACTGTTACAGTGTGGTGGGGGACACAAATCATTCCTTTAAATCATCTAGTCATAATGAGAAATGTCTGGACAACTTTGGGATTTGGAATAACAAAGTGACATTTATATCACAAGAGTTCACCCTATGCTTGTCACGCCTGCTTTAAGGATCATGATTGAATTTATATTAGCGTCTTTAAGATAAAGGTTTTACTACAAGTATCACATAAACTGAATTTATAAATGATATATGTAAATGAGGTCAAGGTCAGATAAAACCTACCACACTAACATGTACTCTTTACAATCATTCCATACACCAAATAAAGTTGACTAAATGCTTAAAAGTATTTGAGAAAATTACTTAACAAAAAAATATAAGGTTGACCTTCCTAAAAATTATGAACCCTACCAGATGGACATTAACACTTTACAAACATTCTATATACCAATTATAGTTGACCTATTGCAACTCAAGTTTTTGTGGTTAGGTCTTTTTCTCAGATACCATACAGGTACAGATGCAATTACAGTTGACCTATTGCATCTGTACCTGTATGGTAATTATAGTTGACCTATTGCATCTGTACCTGTATGGTAATTATAGTTGACCTATTGCATCTGTACCTGTATGGTAATTATAGTTGACCTATTGCATCTGTACCTGTATGGTAATTATAGTTGACCTATTGCATCTGTACCTGTATGGTAATTATAGTTGACCTATTGCATCTGTACCTGTATGGTATCTGAGAAAAGGACCTAACCACAAAAACTGGAGTTGGCTATGGAACCATGCATACGAGGTCAAGGTCAGATGAACATTGCTAGAAGTGCATGTGCACCTTACAATTATTCTATATGCCAAATACTGTTGTCATTTTGCAGTATCTGAGATATGGACCTAACCATAAAAACTTAATGTTGACCAATGAACCATGAAAATGAGGACAATATCATATAAACCCAGCTAGATGGACATGTACACCTTACAATCTTACTAAAACAACTACAAAAACATAATGTTGATCACTGATCCATCATATGAAGCTGAGGTCAAGAGAACCCTGTCTAACATGTAGACCTTGCAAGGATATGGTTATCCTATTACTCATAACAAGTAAGAAATTCAGTGGATCCTGAAAATTAGGTTAAGGATGTGTGAGTGCTTACAATGCAATGTTCAAATTAATTGACATTTCAAAGAGACATGATTCATGGAAAAACATTAACTATGCAATTTTTGATAAAATTTATATTTCCAAGGGTCAAAACTCCTTGAAAAATAGGTTATCGGCACAGATTTTCTAAAGGGGCCTCAGTGGCCAAGTGGTCTAAGTAGTTCACCTACTGTATCACTATCCTGTCAACACTGAGGCTTTGAGTTCAAATCCTTGTCGACTTTAATCTTAATTGACTATATTATAGGATTGTCCTTATTCCTGCTGAAGGTCAGTTGATATCTCCGGGTCCTTCCACAAATGAAAACTTAGAGCCAGGAAACAGCCGAAAAATTTGGCAAGAATTGTACACGAAATTTTGTTTACAAGACCAGACAGACAGAAAGATCTCTGGTATTTTTATGTCCCCCTACACCTCATCCAGGGGGAAAATGAAATCTTTACAGGAAATATTGCATTATTGTGCAACCACCTGTCAGTGATGTGCTAACAGATCATGGATATCAGATTTTTTTCATACAAACCAGTGTAAATGCATAGAGAAAAGCATCCAAGGTCAGTTTTTGGAGGCACTGAAAAAAGTCTAGCCAACTAATGGTGGATTGATGAACATTAGAATACAACTACATGCCTTGGTTATTTAGCAGCAGAAGCATAGAGGAAGTCAAGATAGGAACACTATTCATGAAGTTTCTGTCAAAAGGCCAATGTTCCATAACAAGTAGGTTAATTGGAGTGAAAATCAATTCAAGCTGTAATACCTAGCTATCCATATAAAAAAATTGAGACTATATAATTCCCTGTTTTGTCGTTGGAAGGAATTCATGCAAATACAAACTAAAACAAACCTAACTTAAGCTATCACTAAAATTTTCTATGTTAATTGCAATGTTAAATTAAACAATACCATGCTTGGACCTGCATATCTGCATACAATTGATTGAGGTAACATGTATACTGAAGCATAAATGATCATTTCCTTTCACTGAAGGCAAGAAATCTTTGATGAAAAATTTGAATGAGCACTGTAAAATTTACAGCTATCAGTAAACAGGAGGAGTTTGCACGGCAGATTTTATATTTGCTTACTGTATACCCTATAACTCAACAAAATTAAGCTGGAGACATATATAAAATCATTCCCTTGCACAGAAGCCAAGAAAACTTTGACCAAAAAGTTTTCTACACAAGATCTTTCAGATGGATGGAATGACAGACTGAGTGGAGCAGTTTCTAGACCTGCTTTTGCCATTGGTAACGCAGGTCAAAATGCCATAACCTTTTTAAAACCTCATTAAAAATTATGAACAAGGGATTCATATTAATTTTGGTCAAATGTTTCATCCTATCTAAACTTATATAATATTTACAACTACATACACTTATTAGGCAATAATATTGTTATGTTATTTGTTTTTAGGCTTTTGGTCTTGGCATGCCTGAGGAAGGTTTACGTTAAAAAAATTCTGACTGTGTCAAAGTTGGAGGTGATATAACCGAATTAACTAGACATCATTGAGATGGGATGCCATCTTTGTGGGCCCCGCTGTGAATAAGGTGTGGTAAAAAATTTGTATCTTTACCATAGGACATGGGGTTGTCAACTGAAACCAAAGTTTTTGACCTTGACCTTTGACCTAGGAAGTTGTACATACATTATGACACACCCTCTGGTGTTGGTTAATATACATGTCAAGTATAAACTTTGATTTCATTACGGTTCTCAAGATATAGAGCGGACACAATCTTTACCATAGGACATGGGGTTGTCAACTGAAACCAAAGTTTTTGACCTTGACCTTTGACCTAGGAAGTTGTACATACATTATGACACACCCTCTGGTGTTGGTTAATATACATGTCAAGTATAAACTTTGAAATCATAACGGTTCTCAAGATATAGAGCGGACAAGATCTTTACCGTAGGACATGGGGTTGTCAACTGAAACCAAAGTTTTTGATCTTGACCTTTGACCTAGGAAGTTGTACAAACATTATGACACACCCTCTGGTGTTGGTTAATATACATGTCAAGTATAAAGTATGAAATTATAACATTTCTCTAGAGCGGACACACCTTGTTACAGACGGACGGACAGACTGTTCACAATAGGGTGACCTGCCATTAGGTGGGGCCTTAATAAGCTGAAATTTTACACTGAAATTTGAACATTACTGGTTATTAAAGATTTCCCTTTTTTTGGCTATTCTAAAGTTGAGGTTATACCAACAAAAAAAAATGCTCTCCACCTGGAGCAGCTGGATACGACTGCAGAGGTCGGACTCTTAACAGTTGGGGCAAGTACAAACACAATATTCAAGCTTGATACAGCTCTGAATTTGAATAGTGATTAAAATTTAAAGATTTGACACATTGTTGTTTTCTGATACAGAATAAATGTGGTCAGATAACTTAAAAATTTGAAATGGGACATTTAATCTACAATATCCAAAATCTAATTCCATGGTTATTTTCAGCATATAAAAAAAAAACCATGAATTCAAACAAAGTTTAATTTTGGACCCTTTGGTCAGCAATATGGACGAATTTGAAAAAAGGGCCCACATTAAAAATCCAAATGCACAGTTAGATTCTGCATATCATAGAACCACCAGAATTCAGTTTTTGATGAAATCAAACAAAGTCTAATTTTGGACCCTTTGGACCTCAATGTAGACCTATTTAAAAATGTCCAAATATCCAATATAGTAGTACATGGTTAAAACCTCAAACAATTCAAGACTTTAAATTAATCCTCATTGAAATTGGTTAAAAGATTTGTATTTATTTTCAATTGAAGATTTCTTTCTGTTGTGCAATACTTTGCTGTTGCACAATACTTAGTAAATCTGTTTACAAATAAATATAATAATACTTGTTTGGTGTGTATCTCCTACCATATCAGTATTTGTTGTTTCTTTATATAGATCAGAAATAATTTATGTTAGAACCAGCTTAGACAGTATTAGAAAAGTCTTGTTTTTGGTCCCTATTTGGCCTCTAGTTTCTTAACGATTAAAGCCACAACCCACAAAATCTTCCCAAACCGTCTGTGTGTGGTATGGAACCTTGTGGTACAATTTCATAGAGATCCATTCACTTATACTAAAGTTATTGTCTGGAAACCAAATGTCTTCGGATGACGACGACATGATAGCAATATATGATCGCAAATTTTTTGCGGTTGTATAAAAACCATATGGTTTACAATCCATGACATAATAATAAAGGCATTGTTGTAAAAAAAATCATAGATATATGCAAATACCAACTTAACAATTTACCATGATGTTTTTCTATATGAACAACACCACTCATGTCAAAATCTATTTTGTATTAATTAACATGCATGCTAGTGGCCGTCTTAAAGTTGCAGTGAGGTGAGAGTTTTTTTGCTCTGTGTTGAAGGCCTCCCTGTGACTTTGAGATGAAGAACAGCAATAAAAGTGCTGTTCCTTTGCTTTTTGTGTGTTTTTTGCTGTGCATGTACTGATTTTGTGTCATGGATGGATATTCCATATCTTTTGTTTTTCTATCAATATTTCTGACTCACAAATATGTGTCAAAATATGCATTTTTTGTT